ATGCATAACATTAGCATTTTGCATAATTAATTAGGCTTTAACGACAACATTCTGCATATTGGGAAAAAACTAATTATACCATCTTGTTCCTTACGTAAATATCTACAGACATGCACATTTTCGTGTTCATCGGACATTCGACGGCCGAGATCATAGAGAGAGAGAGAGAGGGGGGGGGGGGTCCCAGGCCCCCCTCTCCCAGTCAGTGAGTTGCTCAAAATAGCCCAGTACAGTGAGGGTTAATAGTTATCTAACATTTAAGAAATAATATCTATCCTCTTTCTTTCTATTCGTTTCTTCGGTATTACCAAAACAATTTGTATCGTATATCTAATATAGCTTTAAATATTAATTTTGTAATAAATATCTTTTGAAATAGGAAAGTTGCATTCAAACTTAGAGAACTGGAATCCATTCCATTTGATTTTGACTATTCTTAAACGCCTTAATACATACCGAGTCTTAGATTCTAAAGATTCAAACTATTCTGGTTTTCTCCTGTTTTTTAAAATGTTTTCACATGACCAGTGATTAATGGTTCGCAGTATAATACTTTGCGCTATAGCCCGAAATACACTGAACTGCACATATAATACATTTTCCTTCTATTTATCAATAAATTAAAAACATTAGCTTTAAGGTTATTCTTACATAACAATTATTGGAAAGGACTAAACGGGACAATGACCGTAATCATGTACGTTACAATGTGAATGTTCCACGAATTTTCAGAAAATATCTAAGTCGGGGTTTATAAATAACGCTTTTCAAACAGTATATACCATCTATTCACAATTATGTATTGCCTTTTATTGGTGGAAAACTGTGAGACGGTACAAAAACATTTAATTTTTTTGATCAAAGAATACCCATGGTGTACTAGTTGGAGTTTGGAGGAAAGTTAGACAAAGCTTACTCTCCATTAAGGGTTTACTTGCAAAGCTGAACTTCATAGAGCACTTGCTAGTTATAATATGATTTGTTGATATTTCACTGACCTAATTGGTCTGAATAAGTAAAATGTTGCCAGAAATCCTGATACTTCATAGAACTAGTATGCAACGGTTGAAAAGAACTTGCCACGTTTAATTAGAAAAGCTGTATTTTGGGTTTAATAACATGGTTTGCTCCATAAAAAACTGATAAATATATAATGTAATAAGGTATAAGATAAAAGTGTGTACGCACATTTTGTTCAGCTGATGTGATGATTGGCATGTCACCCCCTAGGCTTTGACAGAGTGCACGTGTTTCAGAGAATGTCCTGTAGACACCATCATTACCATGGTAGAAGAGATACTGATAGCCACCAAACACATTCAACCCTGATGTGGAACACTCCTGACATTCAACTGTAAGATAAGAAGATACAAAGCATCAACATGGGAATCTTCACGATAAGGATTTACCATAACATCCTATATTGGTAAATGGTCTGGACTCTCATACGAGAGGACCCGGGTTCGATCCTCGCTCGATGCTTTGCATCCTTAGACAAGGTGTCTTGCCCAAATCTCTCCCTCTCCAGGTGTAATCAATGGGTACCTAGCTATGCCGAGGTATTAATAATTGTCGAGCCTGCAAGAAGAGCAGTATTAACAATGATGTGGCTACATTGGCTTCATAAATAGGCCCAAATAATTATTATACCCACTGTGTAAGGCAATTATAATTACAAAGTCTTATATTTTCTTCATTGTCGATGTAGGTTCAGCCTATCGAATTTCATATAGTGATAGCCTCAATGAACGTGAACTATAATAATAAAGCAGTTGCTAGTTCCTTTTTTTTTTTTAAATTTCCGAACATTCCAAATGTCCTGTTCGAAAAACAGACTGCCTGGTAATAAACAATAAAAAAAAAAGTGTCGACACTTTTGAATTTCATAGGCGAACCAATGCTCTTGGAATAGAACAGTAGAAACATCCAGTAAGTTTGACAGAAACCTGTTGAAGACGAAAGAATCCATATCAGAGTAAGAGGCAGGAACACCCTAAACCATCCAAGTACTGTATCCCCAGACATTGTCAATATTACAAGAACACACAGAGTGAGATGCAGTGCCCAATAGTGAAGTCCAATATTGAATATATGAATTCCTCCCTATGTACACATAGCACGACAGATTGCACTTTGAGTTATATCCATTTGGGTTATATATCCTAATACGACGGAGCAACTTGGAAGGGCCTGTGATATGATTCCAGTTCCAATTATTGTGACTAAGTATTGAAAAGGAAGTCGAATATGCCGTGTATCAAATTAATGACAATGTACTTCCTCCTTGTTGGTTGACACCCCCTAAACAGAGGGTGGTGGTACGTACATGTACGAGAGCTACTGAGGCATGAAGAGGTGTACCGCGCGAAGTGAAATAAATCATATTTTTGATAATACATTCGTGGTAGAACCGTGAACAGGTTTCTCTTTGTGAATCAGTCATGTGCTTCACGGACAAAAAGACACTTGAATATGCTATTGTGATTATCAGGAAAAAAATCCTCAATCAAGATCATATTCCCACACCATGACGTGTACCGCGCGAAGTGAAATAAATCATCGTTTTGATTTGTGAATCAGTCATGTGTTAAATGGACAAAGGGACTCCAAAACAGGCTATTGTGATCAGCAGAACATTGTCCAATCTTCGTCATATGTCTACACCATGACGCAGTTAAGCCGAGTAGGACTTATTTGTACAAAATTATGCCCGCTTTCCAGACTCAACCAGTGAATACAAATATAATGAAGCTTAGCTCATCGACTTGGTATTATATGAGTTAATCTATGAAAAACTGAATCAAACCTGGTACTACAGAAATGTGAACCGCTCTCTTTCTACATGCAATCGTGTGGGTTGTTACAGGTTTAATAAGTGGTTATAATGATATCTATGGACGGAAACGGTTTCTATTTCATGCATTGAATCACCTTGACCTTGCAATGAACTATTGACTATTTCAGGAACTACTAAAAATCGTTTACCCCTCACTATGGACATGACTGACAATGAAAGCGGACAAAATATACAGTTCCTCAGGTAAACAAAGGAACATCCCTTCACTGCTATTATGTAAACATATGTAGCACAGGTGTGACATGCATATTCACCTTTTTACATAATAGTAGTGAAGGGATGTTCCTTTGTCTACCTGAGAAACTGTATATTTTGTCCGCTTTCTTTGTCTGTCATATTCATAGTGCCTCTCCCCCCCCCCCCCTGTGTATATCTCATGTTTAGGCATCTGTAGTCATTTTACTTAATAATGATAAAATACTTAAAGAGCTAAGTTCATGATATATAGCCTTCACAGAGCTGTAGTCGTCTTGTTGGGTGTGAAAATATGTGTGCGTGCGCGCGCTTGGTGTGTCTAGGTGTGGGAATGGTCTGAACCTCGTTTTCAGGTAAGGGTGTACGTCAAACTTTTAAGGGAGGATCTCCTTGAGATTTTCCAGATTAGAAGATTATCAATTATTCATTTGAACATATTAATACAAAGATAATTCTAATATAATTCTTATATATCAACGAGAGAAAGAAAAACAGATGTAGACAAGTGAAATAAAGGCAAAGAGAGGTATGGATGGCGAACAAAATAAGAAGTATACTTACGGAGGCAACAACAAGTATTTAAGGACACCCATGAAATTATTTGGCAATTCAATTGGTATGCTTAACTATGTTGTAATTATTTATTCCTGAGAGGTTTATCCTGTTATATGTACTTTTTGATGTGTTGAAGGATTTAATATTGGATGGTAAATAGTTCCATACTTTACCACTTGCATGTGAAAAAGATTGCTTATTAAAGACACTCAATGGCTTCGGTTGACAAACATTCAACTTATCAATATTATCATAGTAGATGCTCCATATTAAAGTGATTTCACCACGAATAAATTAGTCCTCAATTGCATGGTGACAAAATATGATTTAACGCTTGTGTTTGTATAATACGTTTCAAGGTTTGATATGACGGTGTTCTATACTCTTCATGTTTTCTATTCATCACGAAAAAAAGGTTAATCCTATCAAAACATAACTCCTAGACAGTTTGTTTTTACTAATAACACTCACGGTGTTAACTTTACCTTGACAAATCAAGCACAAATAGAGAAAAAAATCCACCGGGCCACGTTTCCTTCACATCCATCGTTTTGTGATACGGGAATTACGAAAATATGATTCAGTTCTGGTTTTATGCTTGGTATGGTTATCTTTTGTTATCTTACCTTGACCATTATTTGTGATCGACGGGGAGCCCTTTTGTCTGACTAACTGCCAAGCGATAAATAAACAACTGTATTGCAATGGGTTTCGTAGGGAAATTCCCTGTTTAATCAAACTCAAACCCGTTTACTTACTAGACTTCACTGTCAGACACTATTGCGTGACTGACTGGCTTTTTTCTTCGTTGGTACTAACATACCTAAAATGGATGTAAAGGGTACATGAGCATTTGTCTACATCAATAACCGCTTCTTTTAATGGCCAAAATTAAACTGATTGAATATTTACGGAGCATAAAATGTACGACCATTCGGTGTAATGATCTGTAAATCAGACTAGGCTCTACAGCTCATAAGGCGAGGCGTCAAAAATAAATATACCAGCCAGCGGCAGCTAACTGCACTTGTGCGTCCTGGCTGCATTTTTTAAATTAGCTCAGCCGGCTACCGCTGGCGGTAGGAAATGGCATTCAAAAGCATGCGCCGGCTGCCGCCTTTCGAATAGAAACCGAGCCTCAGATCCCAGCCTGGCGCAAGCCGGGTGGGCTAATAAATAAAAAATAATTGCCCCAGCCAGGCTTCGGCCGTAATTGCAGCCTCGATGCGCCAATACGTGAGGCGGCAGCCTGCTGGTATCGATATTTTTGACGCCTCGCCTAAGTCGATTCGACAACTAATAGTCGTTATTTTCCCACTTAAAGCACCTGATCCACATAATATCCTAGGTAGAACTATAGATCCTTGCGCTCGATATCCATAGGTACGACCTAGGCCAGTGCCGTCTTCCCGTCTTTAGTGACGCAGGATCCAAGGTCTAACCAGGGAAACTGGTCTCCGTATAGCAGCATGTACATTACGCTGCTATTGCTTACCACCGCGTTGTCAAGCGGTGGATGGAAGCATCGAAAACACAGCCAGAGCTCCAGCGCCGCAAATCGCCGCGCAGTGCACCCCGATAGCCTGGGCTGGGCGACTCGCTGCTAGCGCTGGCCATGAATTGGCCGGCAGCGCATTCAGTGACCTGTTTTCATGTCGACTTGGGAGGTAAAAAAACCTCATAAAGACCGCGTTTTTCTGTGTTTTATTGAGTAACATCGCTACTATCCCAGTGGTAAGTCTTTAGTCACCATTTTGTATAACCTAGATATAAAATAAGAATATAAAAAACTGTAGAAGTGGAGATTATCCACCTCCAATAAAATGTGATTTCGTGGACAATCGCATTCCGGCCCGGCCCAGTGCGGTGCCAGTGCAGTTTGGGCAAGTTGGGTAACAAGAAATAAGAAAATAAGGCAAGTGGTAATGATCTGGGCCTTGTGTTAACAATAAGTTTAACGCAAGTTGCAAAATGACAATGGACCAGTCTAGATCATTGTTGCATGCACAAATTGTTCAATCTGCTGACCATTAACCAATCAGAATATATGCAATCGAACGCAAAACTTAGTGTTACTGTTAGTGTTACAGGGCCCAGATATTTTTCTTGTTACTCAGAAACCTTGGAGTAGTACATTTAAATGTTGCATTGTGTGTACTTGTATTTGTGGGTTACTGGAGTGGTAGCATAGCTTATGGACTATCGACGTATACACATCAACATTGTATGGCCATAGACCTACATTTTGATGTTTATTTGTAATGCGTATCGACTTTCAGACTTTTCAATGGCAGAACTAACCGAGTCAGAATAATAAGTAGGGGAAAACGGCTTGTTTCTTGGTGTAGATTGTAGATAATGATTCAATGTTACAGACTTTCTAGGCCTACCTCTAGACTGCACTTCTTTTTTAAATAATGGGGCATTTGCATTAAAAACTGTTTGGCACCTTGGTAATCAGCAAACAACAACTCTGGATTCATGATGATCTGGAAAGTTCCCAAAGAGCTTTGATTAAAACTTAAAAACATATTTGGATGAAGATCTCTGCATTTACATATTGATAAAACACTTTTGCGACTCAACAAGAGCTCCCATAAGCAAAATGGTACTGTTTACTTTATTCCTTGCCTTTTGTAGTACACTTCTGTAGGAAATCACCACATAGCTTTCTTTTGTGCATAAAGTCCTATAGCTAACCCAGAAGTATGAATATAGGCATACAAAAAATGTATTAGATTTACTATGCACAGATGATGATTCAGGCACAGTTATTTTTGTAATATATGCGGTTGACATAGGCCATAATTTACACAGCATTTTAAAGAGATAAATGTGCGTACATGCACATGTAGTTCCATGAATAGGACCCCACATACATATTGCGTACATGTAGCTTGTCAGGTTATTTTCGTTTGTTTCAATATTGTGACAGTAAAGCAATCTGCACAAGCGGGTACGTGCATGTGACATGGACAGAAAAGATAGATGTGTACATTCACTTGTATTCACCTGTCTTCTCAGGCTTCCGTTAGTAAGATAATGCCTTATAATGCCCACCCATGGCTCATCAAAAATAGCACTGCAATGGTTTCATTGAGATACACCTAGGTCTATCTCTATATATTATATATATTATATATATTGGTAGAATTTGTGTCCAACAGGTGCATAGTGATGATCATGATAATTTTTCAAAAGTATCAAGCTATATTTTGCCTTCTGCTGTTTTTTTAATTATTACTTTAAAAATTATTTACAAGCAACCATACTAAAACCAAATTAAAATATGGATATAATCTTGCAAAGTCTTAAGGTCTTAATTAGAGAACATAGGAAAACAACAGATTACATCACTCAAATATGGACATTGCTTAATAAGGATCCACATGTAGCCATGAGAAATGTAGAAATAATAACCATCACAGATAATAAGTGTCCTGATGAATTTTTTATTCGTCCACTATAAGTTATCATTTCATGATTCCTGGAATTTTTATTTAAATTAAATGAAAAATATCTTTTATCTTTTGTTTCTTTTATTTGACAGAGCTACCAATGTTATAACCTCCAACACTGTCAGGCACATGAACCAGAGTTCTGAACTTCTGAGTGGACCCAACGAAATGCCGGTTTCCCTTCGAGACAAACATGGGCCAGGTGGTTTTCCTCGCTGTGGTGGATAACGCAACAATGTCAACATTACCTAGTGTCCAGAATTCCAGATGGCCTTTGCTGTCTCCTTATCTGCTCAATCTTGCTGTAATTGATGCTCAAATTTCCAGCCTGTCGTATCACATCAAGTGTGTCAGCACAGTCATGTTTGAGGAATCTTCCTTTGAACAAAAAATGGCATTTCCACTTACATGTAAGTTCAACTGTGAAGAGAGATGAAGCATTTTTATGCTGTTGGATCCGAAATTCTATTTCCTTGTTGCATCGATCATAGAAAAGCAGTGCATATCATCCTCTGGAATGACTAAACAGTGCATCAAACTTGTTCAGAAAAAAGACACGAAAAACTACTTATGGCCTGAGTAACACCAGCTATGTTGAAACATTTAGGTTATGTCACCTTCAATCCTGAAACAAACAGGCAAGATGATATGCCACCAGTTCGAAAGATCATTGCCCAGCTTGAAGCTTCTTCAAAAGCCCTGGATTAATATCACTGTGGTATCAATATCTTGATACAGACCCTCTCATTAAACTTTCTCAGACTATGTTAAATCTTCATACACAAACTACAAAAAGGTAAACAGTATATGATAGGACCAGGTGGGGGTAACCTCCCCCCTCTTCTCTCTCTCTCCCTCTCTCTACTGTTTCACTATCATTATTTGCCTTTCTCTCCCCCTCTCATACCTCAACTGATACTTGTTCTATCTGGTTAAGATTTACAACCACATGTTTTTATCTATTTGAATTGGTTCTTCAATTTAGACTTGTGAATTACTTGTACAGTCAGATAAGGTATTGTTTAACTGTATACTCTCTCCATTCAATCTATATATATATATATCTCCTTCTCTCTATTTCTTCAGATCTCTGTTCTCATTTTAACCTTTGATAAAATGAATATCTGTAATTAAGCCTTATTAATGATTTTTTGACAGATTAAACCATTTCCCCATGAAATTGCTATTTCTAATTAAATCGTGTGTTATTGTTCTTTCCATCTTTCTCTCATTGGTCTTTCATCCTTGGTATCTCCATCTCTCTCCACACCACCCCTGTCTCTCACACACATACATCCTCTTGTCATTATTGTATCCTCTTTCTGTTTCATCTGTTTTATTTCAATTAAATAAAAACTTGGTTCAAAGGCCTTACATTGTTTGATTACGAAAATTAAACCATATTTAATGGGCATTATGTTGATGATAGTTTGTATTTATGCGTATCAGTTTTACCAGCTTTCTTGTGCAGCAAGCCTTGTAGTTTGGTTATTTGCATCGTCTTCTATAGAAGGTGTAAAATTATTGTTCATATTCAATTGTACTTGGAATGATTTTTATTCTTGTTTACATGTACTGTAGATGCACAGTCAAACAAGTCCATAGTGCATTACAGTGGCAAATTAATTTATGCAACCATGTAACGCTATGCATGAATTAACAGCTGTGGAATTCCAAATTATGATCTTATCTCATGATTTGATTTTCAAGAAAATTGATCAGTCGTGCCATTATATTGGTCCAGTCATTGAAAGGACACTTATGTCTTATCTCCTTCTGCTTCTTGCTTTTTTTCTTCTAGATTTTTCCCCATTTGATGGGAGGAGAACACAGACCTCCTCCATGAAGAAAGTGCATGCCATTTAAATTGTGCAATTGATGTAGAAAATATAATTATATTCAGGTTGTGCAATGACGTACATGTAATTGTGCTCCTTGTCTTGGACTTGTAAAAGTGGATTTGGATGTAGGGCTAAACAATATTTTTAATTTCGGCTTTACGTATGTTCTCGAGTTTTCATCTGATAACTGATGAATTTGGGGAGATCGCTTAGGTGTATCTGTCAAAAACCTTATTTTCTTTCTTAATATTTCATAATGTATAGTGCATGATGTAATAAGTTTGTCATTAACCTGATGTTGATTTTCATATATTGACTATTTTGTAATACACTGTACATCGATTTGGGGGATAACAGACTTTACCTTTTATGTTTTAAAGTAGCTGTGTTTCCATGTTATAACCGTCTGATTTCATCAAATTTCATTGAAAGAGAGGTGTCCTTGAAGCAGTTTATAAGTTACAGCTGCTTAAGAATACTTGCTGCATAATGTAATAATCCATTAGTGTATGCATCATTGAATCACCCAATATTTCAATATGGTGGAGGGATGAAAAGTCTCTTGTAGTTTTGTTTTACATCAAGTAGCATTTTTAAAACTGAGTACTGATAAGATAGCTCCTAATTGTTGGCTATAGTTTGCCCGGTAAAAGTGGTGTCTGCATTTAGGTGCTGTGTTTTGATATAATTTAAGTATGTGCCGGAGAAGTAAATAATGTAAAAAGCTATAATAAAGTTGCTTTAAAGAAGCAATTTCTTCTATATTTTAATTACTATACTCATACTACAGATGGTCCTATCCTCTAGCTTTCTCAGTGACCAGGGTAATGTATGTAAACCACTTAGAGACATCAAAAATGTTTAGTATTCAATTGAAGTCCTCCCTGATGTTAAGTTTGTTTCTATAATAGAAGTAGAAAAATGAGAGGATCAGGTCAATGAAATTCTGATTTAAAAATAAGAAAGTTTATGAATTTTGGAAATTGTCATCAAACGCATAGTGGCATCTCTGTGACATTTCTTGTGAGCTCCCCTTACCCTTCGCTCTGTGCATAACATGTCATCAATTTTAATTTTCTTCATTATTGATGATGGAATAGACTTGTCTATACAGGGGTTGAATATAGAAAAAGATTCGCAATAATGTAGTGGTTTAGTGGTGGTTATTTTACCTGACTGCTAAGAAAGCATAGATGCTTGTTAGTAAGTAACCAGAAGACCGACAGCTTTAAATCCTCTCCGAAGGACCTGGTAATGAGAATTAATGCCTTACCAAAGGGCACTAACGCATCGACTTGGTTTCGAACCCAGGTTGCCGGATCACGAGACCACTGCTATTCCAACTGAGCTATCGCGCCCTTGGGTGCATGAAAAACTTCTTTAGAGAAAATAGACATGTCTTGATTTTGTTTTGTAGTACATAGCAAATGGGAGGAGAGACGATTCAGCAAAGAATTGCCAATTTGTGTTTGATTGATTACTTTCTTTTATTTTAAATCAGGACCTGATCCTCTCATTTGTCTGCTTCTATTAAAACCAAATTAATATCAGTCAGGGTGGATTTCTCCTGTAAGTGCTATATAAAACCAGAATATTATTATCATCATCTGTTGTTTTGTTTTTGTTTTTGCTCAAAGTTATAAATGCAATGTTATTTTTTTAGTGTCCAAAGATGCCAGATATAATAATTGTTCGAATTCAGAATATACCTTTTTAATAAAACTCTTTTATCAATACAATATTTTTTGAAAACTCTGTGAGATATACTGTATTGATTTTATGCGAAAGACGTCATGTTCTAGGTGTTATTGTTCCCGGCTGTGTGACAGAGAGTGTAGAGTGAATGGTCCTGGTGAAATTTGAAATGTTGCTGGTATTTGGACGAAGTGATGGAGAGTCTAAGAGAGCAGAATGTCTGCTCAGAGCCAGAAAAGGTGTGAAACTTAAATCAGTTGATTCAGTGTTAATGTCCTTTTGGCTCTGAACAGACGATGTAAATTACAGAAACACATTTAATGTTTTACAACAGTTCATTAAAAACTATTCACGACAAGTTATAAAGCTCAGGCCTCTATTCCGAACAAAAGTTTTGTGATTGGTTTGGTCAATTCCTAGTAACCCTCTCCCCTCCATTGCATCAAATACACTGCCAAGTTAAAATACTAAATAGCAAATATGTTTTGCCTTTGCAGTATGACCCATTTCTATCTATACTTTTTGTAATCTTCCCTCCTTTTTCATATCCCTAAGCAATTTGTAGGAAATTTGTGTATAAACTCATAACTTTCACTTGATATTTCTGTCTCGTATTAAAAAAGGTTACAAAACACATTATCCAGAGACCATGGTCGAAAGAATGTATATGGGAAATTATTGTTAAAGGTATAGACCGGTAGTCGTAAAATTGCCGTTCAATGGTTTTGGGTGCAAACTATCCATTCAATATTGTTTAAATATTTCCTTCAGGTTTAGATGGCAAAACTTAAACCTAAATTCGCAAAAAACAGAAATATATGCCCAAATATTCAGTGATGGAGTGCATATCTATATCATTCGCGATATCTATCCAGGCCGGATCGATATGATAATTTACCAAATATATCAATTAGTAGGCGGGAAAATTTGTATCATCATGTATTAGTCAAAACATATTCTTTCACATGATTGGTAATAAAAGCTTCCATTTCATTTTGTGAGGGGGGGGGGGCGTTTCCAAAACTGGTCTATACTTTTAAAAAGTGAGCTTGCTCTGTCGAACACCTCATGAATCCACATTTCTAGTTAATGGTGATGGATATTCGAGTGAAGTTACTTTAGCAGTATTAGTATCAAAACATAATCAAAGATATCCAACACAGCAAAGCTCAGCAAAAGGCGATTTTATAAAGAAAGTGTGACCATGAAGTTGAAAGTAGCAACTACCGATCTCATATCAGTAGGGCAAACAGAGAGGGCGCTTTTCAAATTCAATTGGGTTAATTAATTTTTAAAATATGTTATTAATGGTTATATGTTTCAAGATTGATTCTAAAAATACTTCATGATATTAACTATCGTTCTACGAAGTTTGAATCATTAATTCAAAGGGAGGGGGGAAATAGAAATGAACATCTCAAACAAGACGATATTATCTTTTGGCACTGTAACCCTTTGTACTTACTCATTTTTTGAGCTCGGAAGAAGCGTAGTCCGCGACAGATGTTGTACAAATCGTTTGACTCACGAATGTTGATAACGCCAAGAAGTGTATATTATGCCATTTAGTTTAAAGGTAAAATTCGCATAGCGCTTGTATTTTTAAAAGCCTTTCTGCGCCTCTGATTATTATGTAAATCCATATTCCAATTTAACCAAATATTATGAGAATAAAACCCAAATGCTTCTGGTTATTAAGCGTCGTTAATTCGTTTCTTGCATCTCTGGTTTAAGCTAGACATAGAACACTTTGATGAAAATAGTTTTATTTTTTTGTTGAGGATCAAGTATTTCATCTAAAAAAGAAGATTGGACACCGGTACGACCACGGTGGGGGGGGGGGGGGGGGGGGGGCACTAACAAAAGCGTTTAAGCAAATTATTCAAATGGTAGATTCTTGATATTAAAGGTAATGATAATTATGAATACAACAATAACTTTGTTAAGTAAATGAATGGGAAGGATTCTAATTTCTTTAAGCCAGTTATTAGAACACTCCTTATATATCTCCTCATATTAAATCTTATCTCCATATATTTTATCCTGTTGAGTTTTATTTTCTTAATAATTTGTATATACGTATTATGTTCTTCAAATATGTATAATAAAATTCTTATTTTGCGCAGTCACTAAATGGCATTCTCTTCTGGTTTTAAAAATGGGGAGGGTGGAGGGACTATATAGTTCTACGATTCTAAAGGTTTAAACACAGCAGCTAATGGTGTCAAGTGAGTCGACTCGACATTTAAAGGGCTCGTACGTGTATTCATTCACTAGTATTTTCTACTTCTATTACTATCAATACTTATACTACTACTACTAATACAACTACAACTACTACTACTGTTGTACTACTACTACTTCTTCGACTATACTACTATACCACTATTACGCTACCACTAATATCGCATTGCTACTACTACTACTACTTCTACTACCACTCAGGGGCGGCGAAGCATCGTTCAAAGTGTGGGGGGGGTACCAATAAAAAGGTTATTTTCTGGAGAAAAAAGGTGCACCTACAAAGGGAAACCTTACAGCGAAAATATACAATGTTGTGCCATTAGTATATAAACCACTACATTGTGATTACACTATCTGGGATGATTTCCATATTTCTCTCTTTACATGGTCCAAAATACTGCTTAATCATCTTACTTTGCAGTTGAGGTTGATTGTCTGAATATCCATTTGCGAGCGAGGAAACATTTTATGATATGTGAAGTCGTAGTGCGTAAAATTACATCTTATAAAGAAGGAAAAATAAACAATCCTGATGTGTTTATGACATGCTTAAAAGACCTTTAGAAAAAAGTTATATAAACTATACATGCAGGCGAGCGAGCTTTGGGGAAATCAAAGCAAAAACAAAAAAACAATGTCGCTTTGAATTTTTGGAACATATTTGTCTGGTGAAAGGGAAAGGGGGAACTTATCAAAATGGCAAAGATCACTTATAAAAAAGAAAAGGAGCACGTGTCAAATTAAAAAAGGGATATTATCAGAAATAAAAATGGGGCCCTTCCTGCACCTGAAAAGGGGTACTTAGCAGAGATTAAAAAGGGACTAATGAGAATAGAAAAGGGGCATATAGTACAAAGGAAAAGGGGCAATTGTGACATTTGAAGGGAGCACTAATTAAAGGTCAGAGGTGGTAAGAGGCACTTATAAGAATTGGAACGGGCACTTATTAGAAATAAAAATGGACTCTTATCTAAAGCAAATGTAAGAATTGGCACTTTCGGGTACTTGAAAGTGTGGAGACGGGTTGGATGGATGGGTATTGTGTCCCCCTGCCCCCCCCCCCCCCTGGTGCGCCACCACTGCTTCTACTATACTACTACTATTTTATTTCTTTTATGCTAGTACTACTACTTCTTCTAGCCTACAACTACTACAATGTATTACTACTACTTCTAC